ATTTCATCATAGTGTGGAATGAGCTTATTGTTTCTATTAATTAAATCCCATAAAGGACTTTCAGACTGCCATGATAAACTATCCAAAACTTGTTCTTCAACCTAAAAAACATTAGAAATGAGAGAAAATATTGAACATTTATCATAATAAAATAATAAAAATTACATATAAATTATACATGTAAAAACATACTCTATTCAAATGTTTGATCATATCACGAGGTAGTTTATCTTCAACACGAACAATTACTTCAATTACTTTATAGAAATGGTAAGGATGGATTTGAAGAGCATTAAGTACCCATGGAAATGCACGTTGTGAATTATAAGCAAAGATTACCATTTCTAAGCAGCATGCAAAAAGAGTCTCGTGAAATACAGCATGACAAATTAAATTCTAAAAAATGTAAATGAGAAAGAATATAATATATAAGTTTTCTGCAAAATAAATTACTATATAATGCAATACACACTTTAATATCATATTTAGGATTTTTTGCCTCTTTGGCAATAATATTTTCAAACAACTTGTAAAAMCATGTCTTGGCCATAACCAATCTTTTTTCAGCAAAATCATTATGCAACGCAGAATTATGATCTACTTGACAATATTGAGAACAGAATTTAATGCCTAACATATTAATTAGATCTTCAATTTCGCTTTTCAAAGTTGCTGAACATGACCTGTTGAAATAAAAATATGTTAATGAATTTTATTATTTTACATTTTAATATATAGTTTACTTTAGCAAAGTGTATAATTTGTCGGACGGATAAGGTGAGCAATCTGCTAAAATAGATTGTATTTTGAATACCATTTCAGAAGCATTTTTCACAGGTACACTTTCATCAGATAAGTCAATTTTTGGTTTTAAATGATTTCGTCCCGTAAGTGGTGTTTGTTGATTAAATAAATTGTTCTAAAATATATCAATTATATAATTATTAATTAACCTAAGTCATTATAATCAATGTAAATACTTTTTTGTTTTTCATTTCTTTAGCTAAATCTTCTGTTGTACATTCATTTGATGCTCCAATTTCAACATTAGCGTTTTCAGCTATAAAACAAAAATATTTACAATATAATACAACAATGTTAAAATTACCAAATAAAAAATTAACTTAGGTAAATTAGAACATAGAAGTGCTCTCTATCAAAATACCTATCTTATGAGAATTGTACAGTCTGCTATAATAATTGGATAACACTTCTCAAAGCATATTTGATATTCATATTAATTTTTAAATGCAAGTTGTTTTCTACTAAGCTTTAAGGACAAATTTAAATTTGGTTTCAAATATTATATTGGATAATTAATTAAGGAAGTCAATAGATACAGTTGCCCGAAAAATAATAATATTTAGGAAGAATGATGCGGAGATGGTTGAAATAATTTAGTTATAACTTTCCTACTTTAGTATTTAAATTTAAATAAAACCCTAGATTTCTAAGTCATGAGATTTTGGTTTGAGAATGGAAAAATTTACTCAAACATTAAAGTTAACAACAATAGTAGAATTATTGGCATCTGTTTAAAAGGATATTTTATTACAATATATTTTTTCTTTAGCATAACAGGTGAAACTCATTCATGTGAAATTGCCTTTTTATGATTTTTGAGTTATTTTAAAGAATCGCTAGCAACAAAAAAAATAAGAAGGATATTTGGAAGGTTTGAAGACCAATAATATATTATTATTTTTATTATTTGACTTTATGTTGTAACTTTAAGGTATTATACCTACATTTTTCTTTATAATAATGCATTTATTCAATATTCATATTTTGATTTTTGTTRTTTTTAAGAATACTATAGATAACTATATTTCTAAATATTGTAAGTTTCATTTGTTAAACTATTTGAGGAATACAAAATTATTGTTATTTAATGAGAACTTACCTTTATCCTATGCATCTACCCAAGATATTGTTTAACTATATCCAAATATAGAGAAGTTTTATAAATAATTAACTGTGTACCTACTAAGAATAATGGGTTGGAAAGACATGTGGGCTATAATTTAAAAACATTAGTCATTAATAATAGCCTATTAAATAAAAATCTTCAGCAAATTTAGAAATATAGTAATTACAGAAATRACAGAAAACAGTAAGATAATTATATTAAAATATTAAACAATTGCATAAGTATCATTTCTTACAAAGGAATATTCGTTCATCAAATTCCCCAACACTCAAGACATATTGTTCATATCGTTTATTGATCGCCTTATAATTGAAGTCAAAGTTAACAGCATCTAAAAGTAAATTTAATTCGGAATCTCCTTTTAATACCTGAAAAATAGTAAAAATAAATTTTTAAAGTTTTAGAAATTAACAAAAAATCAATAATATTTACTTTTYTTTCAATTAATTTTTTTAGATTTGTCTTCCAAAAGTACTCTTTTATCACTTTTGCATCGGTAGTTATACCATCATATTTTTGACATAAATAATCAATTATACAAATAGGTTTTGAAGGTAAAACATAAGAAGTAGATTCAAAATCCTGGGGTAGGCCTGAAAAAAATATTTAATTATTATTCATATTCTACAAAACTTAATATTTATAACCCAAAAATATTTACCTCCAAAGGATTTATTCAATAAGTCTCTTAAATCAGCTATAAGAATATTTGTGTACACATAATCACAACAAGCTAATAGCAAATGATAAGAGTTGACCAAATTTTCACTCAAATCTGGAAATTCAGATTTAGCAACAACAAACAATGTCCAACAAAACTCAAAAAGTTTAGAAGCTGAACATGTCACCCTGAAAAAAATGATGAAATAATTAAATATATATATATTGTGTTATAATACATAGAAATTATTGATAAATTATTAAAGTAGGTAATGAGCATACTTTTGCTTTTTAGAACAACGAGTTTTTGTTTGTTCATCTTTGGTATTGTTAAACATAGCTCCAAAGATTGGTTGGAATTTTTTAAATATAACCATTGAAACAGCAAAGTTTTTTTCCAATTTATCTATTTTACGGCGTAATTCTGGAGGCATATTGATCATATCTGCCCATTTTTTGCTTTTTCCAATAAAGTGTATAAGACTAAGGAAAAGGAACAACAAACAAACATTGCATAAAATGATTTGAACAATTTTATCAGCCTTTTAAATAAAGTTACCTAATATTGCACAAACGGAGAAGTCGTGTTAAGCTAACTAAATTGCCTTCGATCAATGTTTCGCTGTCTCCAACTGTATGTTCAGTGACATTACGACACGCCACATATATAGCACAAGCCAACCAATGACTTGGATCACCCTATAGCACACAAAATCACTTTGTAATTACAACAAATGGGAGAAAAGGTTACACTAAGTAGATAAGATGTATAAGCAGATGCATACGTCCAAAGAATAGTTCTCCTTGACGGCCAGATAGGTTTCCCATGCACGGCTGGCAGCATTCTTGTCCAAATTTAAGCCTTTGCACAGATCCAAGAACTTGCTGTTGTAGATGTCTTCGTCCAAGACGTTTGTTCCCACGGGTACACCCATGGCGACGACGAGCTTCTGTCACTGCCGCAATAAGACAAGCGGAGTGTCCGTATCTGCCAGTAACCAGAATAATTTATACCTACTACGGGTACGACGAGGAGAGCATAACTATTGCAGGGCGTGTAATAACTAACAAGTGGCAATTATTATGTTATGCGTATAAACACTGTAATTGGCGAGTTATTGTAACACCGAACCACGACGAACTCGAATACAATATACGGATCGGTAGCGGTGATGACGACGCGATGCACACCAAACGCCGAGCACGGTCTGATTATGGATCGTTGGTGCTGTTGTTACTATTTAATTACTGTACGTGAATATCGCATCTGTAAACAAATATGAGCGATGGATTATGAACGAAGGAAAACAAAACGTTGATGGTAGGTACACGCACGATTGCACGAAAGACGATGTTTTTTAGTAGATGGCGGGAAACCAGACGGACAACAAAAGCCGACGGGGGGAAGCGCCGACACACAAGTTACGGACTGTTTTTACGCGCGCTACAGTAGTACAGTGGGGAACGGTGCAGTGGTGGTGGAGAAGGGTAGACGGACTAGACTGCTGGGCAGGCGGGCGGACGGTGACGTCACATGGCGCCCCKCCCGCTAGTCGTGTGATTACCGCAGCAACAATGATATAAATAACTTGGTGTGATTGTAACCTCTCGGCAACCAGATCTTCGGCAATACGGAAAGATGCTTGACGCATAAAATATAAATAAGTTTATTGGTGTGACGTATGTGTCCACTGACCA